ATGAATCATACATTGAACCTTCCAAATTCTTATGGTCAGATTTTGACTCCAACCCAGAATCAGATCTACCCTGGCGACCTGATGGCCGGCAGTCCTTCCAAAAATTTGAACCCCAATTCCCAGGTGCTATTCTTCTTCCTGCTGGCTGAAAATTAGAATTTGAAATACCAGCCCCATTATCAGTAACCATATCACGATGCAGCCTAATCTGCTCAGAATTTGAAATGCCAGCCACATCACTTTGATATTGTGCATCCTTGTTAATACCTAATTCTCTTTCACTATCAGTCCCATCTATGTCCTCATTCTCTGCTGATCTCAGAACCCTACCAATGTTTTGCCCATTTCTTTTCTCTTCCAAGACACCATGTGAGACTGTTTCATTTGAATGGTTCCTAAAACATGCCATCCTCTCACTTTAAAATCCTAGGCATATAACTCCCGTCTTCAACAACTCCGCAAAAAGATTAGGGAATACAAAGCATCTTCAAAATATTTGCTGAAAACCTGGATAGTCAATCAGCCAAAGGCCAAAATTTTAGTCCTTCTGAGATAAGCCGGAACTCACAATCGACAGAGAGGAATATAAAAGGAGGTGGAAAACAAAAGTAGGTACTGTTCAAGAACCTCGAGACAAATGAAAATATAATATTTCACTAAATAATACAATTTACTAAAAAAAATTGGCAATCCCTACCCAGCTGAATAATTAAACAATTCAATGTCCTACGTTAAAACCCTTTACAATTTGCAACATTTTCTGAGCAAGCAAAGATTTCAATGAGAATAACTTAGTTAAATGCCAATTCAAAGTCATTATTGACGTTTCAAGGAGTGAAAGACCATATGAAAACTTCATAACTCGTTACACAAAACTGCAAATTTCACATAACAATTACTCAGTTGCATCAAATACAATTCTAAATAACTAAGAAATGCAAAACTAGGAACAAGAAAGTGTAAAGTCAAACTTCAAACCAAATGAACTCAAATTCACACACACTTGTCAAATGAATTCGAACACATAAAGGATGAAATTTCTAACCAAAACTAGCCACAAAATAAGGAAACTCTAACCCGAAGAAGGGAAGAAAGGCCAGAATTGAACAAGGCGAACAATAGATCAGTCACTCCAAACACGGAACCAAAAAAAATCAAATATTAGATACATCGATTAACAAACCCTAAAATGAAGAGTACAAGCAACGATTCACAATCCAAGCTCCTAAATCCGTATCCTCAAGGATAAAATATTAAAAAATTAAAAATCGCGCGCCAAAGAAACCCGCTTATTGATCGAAACAAAGAAGCTGACCTTTATGAAAATAAAATGAGAGCTTTTTGGCTAATAAGGAAAAGAATTCATTGGGTAAAATTGGAAATAATGCGCAAGTTAATAATCGCGAACACCTTTTAAATCGCCGGGAAAATCAAACACAACCGGCCGCCAAATATTTTTGAAAACGAAGAGACCGTTTTCACTCGGGTCTCTCCCGGTTTTACGGGTTTCAGGGTGGTTCGGGACTTTTGAATCGGCACCGGTGGGTAAGATGTGCTGAGTAGCCGGTGAAAAACCCCGATTCCAAAGGAGGAAGAGAACGCGTTTTTTTGGTTAATCGTCCGATCGAGAAAAATAGAGAAGTTCCTTTTTTTTTCTTTAGGAAAATAAGTGTATTGAGATGCAATATAAGAGGGTAGGTTAATTTCTAGTTACGATAAACGTGTTTTATAGAATTTAATAAAACCTAAAATGTAAAAAAACTAAAATTAAATGATAAGTATACCCCTATTTTCTTTTTGTTTCTTTTACTCTGTATTTTTTTTAATTTGCGTGCTGCCTATGCAATCAGGCCACGTGGTGGTAGTAGTGTCGTGTGTTGAGGGGTATTCTAGACTATTAAGCAAAAAAAAAATCCTCGTAAATAATAATAGGATAAACTACTCATTTAGTATATAAATTATCAAATTTATTTTACTTTAGTACCTAAACTTTTATTTATTTTAAAATCATACTTAATGTTTACTTTTTATTTCATTTTTGTATCTCATTATTAAAAATTTACCAAAACGGTTACAACATGACACTTTGTTATGTGTAAACTAAAAAATCATTATTTCTAGAGATTTTAGATTCGAACAGTTAGGTTGCACAATGCATGTGCATTGTTAATTGTTAAAAGAGTTATGTACAAATACTATATTATAATTCTAATATTATATTTTTTTTTACTTTATTGATGATTTTAATTTTTTATTCTTTTGCAGGCATATGAATTTGAATAACAATTGGGGATGAGTATAGAATAAATTAGGTCACATTTTTAGTTAATCCAATTTAGATTCAAGTATTTTATTTTTTTCATCTGATCCTATCAAAGTTTAGAAAGACTATATTTGATATAATTTTTGCGATAAAAATTACAATCGACCCGATACATACATATATAGTTCTATGTTGTTAGATAAAATATGAATATAATTAGAAAATATATAGAAAACTATTATTATAATTATTGAGTCAGATATTTTTTTTTTATCATAAACCCAAATTGATCTTAACCTTCAAAATACTTGATCTAATTCAAATATAATTAAGGGTAAAGTATAGTAATGGCCACTGAACTTTTTTAAAGCTTTCATTTAGATTTCCCAACTTTTAAAACTTGCAATACAGTCCCCAAACATTTAGTCCATTTACAATATTATCCCCGACGTTACACTGTCGTTAGTACGTTTGCAATATGATTACTGAACTTTTTAGGTGCTTGCATTTAGGTCCCTCAACTTTTAAAACTTGTAACACATCCCTCAATTTCATTCTAAAGCCTAAATTCTTTTTCGGTCTCGAATTTCCGTTTTTTTCTTATCTCTTCTCATTTTCAGCGTAACTTTTTAGTCGGGGATGCATGGAAAAATATAATCTAACTTTGAATTTTGTAGAGATGTTGACTTGAATAAGGGTCCATTGAGAGACGACCCGACTAAGGGACTATCGAGACCATCAACGATTCAAGGTGTAATGTTAGATACAGGTCATCTCAGGTGAAGCATATATGTTAGATGAAATGATTGTGAGAAAAAAATAGGGTTAGAAATGCAGAGTTGACAACTACTACTAAGATGAACTAAGTATCATTGTTGAAAGTCACCAATAAAGCTGAAATTATTTTGTATAAATGACATAATAATTTCTTTGTTTAATCCTTGTGGTTAAAGATTTTCCAATAGATTATCAAATATAATGAAATCTCAAACAGGTCATTCACCTCTCAGTCTATTTCGCTCACATGCACTCTCGTTTGGTTTTTGTTCTTCAATTTTCCACTATGTAAATTGTAAACCCAAGCATTGTTTTGTCTTTCAGCTTTTTATTTACAAAGAAAAAATGGAGGAAGAATTGTTGGAACGCAACATTGATTGCGTTTATTTCTTAGCCTCTCCCCTCACTTGCAATAAGGTATTTATTTTATCTTTTGGGCTATCCGGAAGTAAGTTTTTCCTCTTTCGCACTTTTCCATTTTCAACTCGCATTGTGTTTTTTTTGTTGAAAATTTTATGTTTCTAGAACTGCATGTCAATGATCTGGATATTCAGTGTTAGTTTTGAACCAAAACCATCTAATTTTCTTTCTTTCTTCTTAATCAAAACTTTTACTACTCCTTATGAAATATATCCAGTCCATCCGAATAGAAGTGAAATAAGGTCCTAGGCTACAATTTTTTGATCTTCTTGTTTGATTTTTCTTTAAATCAGGGAATTGGTTGTGAGTATCGACATAGTGAAATCGCCAGGCTCAATACGAGATACTACTGGTACTAGTTTACTGGAATTGTATTGATCTTACATGTGGTTTTTAACGTCTTGTGAGCTCGTATTCTTTTTAATAAGTCCATGTCGATTATGGGATTGATATATCATGAACGAATTGGATTTTTTTTACATGTTTTGGAAATTTTATAATTGAATTGTATTGAATTATAACTTTAAAAGACAATTCTGCATGCACACAACTTGAAAGACATCATGACATGGTAGTATATTTGGAGCAGCTACTTGACCCTTTCATGATGCCTTTCGAGTTGCGAAAGAGATGAGAGGTGAATGTGTTGTTTGAGATTTCATTATATTTGATCATCTGTTGGAAAATCTTTAACCACAGTGATTAAACGAATAAATTATTATATTCCATTTATATAAAATAATTACAGCTTTGTTGGTGACTTTCAACAATGATACTTAGTTCATCTTAGTAGTATTTGTCAACTATGCATTTCTAACAAAACTTAGTTATGATGGAAATTAGAAGAGAGAAGCGAAAAATGAAATTCGAGATCGGAAAGGAATTTGGGGTTTATAATGAAATTGAGGACTATGTTATATATTTTAAAAGTTGGGGGACCTAAATGCAAGTACCTGAAAAGTTTAGTGATCATATTACAAATGTACTAACGGCAGTGTCACGTCGGGGACCATAATGCAAACGGACTAAATGTTGGGGGACTGTATTACAGTTTTAAAAGTTAGGGGACTGTATTGCAAGTTTTAAAAGTTGGGAGACCTAAATGAAAACTTTACAAAAGTTCATTGACCATTACTATACTTTACCCTATAATTAAATCTAAAAGAATTAAATTATATCAAAACCCATCAAATTAGATTTAGATTGTTATAACAGTATTTACAGTAAGTGAGGCGAGATAAAGGTAAATTTAGGATGTAAAAAGAAGTATATTAAAAAATTAAAATTACCAAACGACAACCTTTAAAATTTCCCGACACAAGCCTCCCCGTATCGTCCTCCTCATGTCCTTGACCCCTACCCTCTCTTCCCTTCAAGTTTCCAACGGAGCAGGAAATTAAAAAAGGTATTTTTGAAACCCTAAACTTAACTTAAAGATTAATTTATACTTGAATAACGGGATTTTTAGTTAGCTGCTATATGCTATATTTCATTTTATGTTTAGGATCTTACCGCCTATTACTGTTTCATCTCATATTCTATGTGTAGACTTGTTGAGAAGGATGGTTTTCATTTTAAAGCTTCCGGTTTAGCGGAAATAGGGGACCGTAACCGCTGCTATCTGCGGCTGCGATCCGCTGCTAACGATGTAAAATTTGTTCATCTTTAGCGGTGCATGGCGGCACTACCGCGAAATAGCGCGGCGGCGCTACACTCTCGTTATTTTGAAACTCAATTTAAAATAATAATAATGAAAGCTGTTCGGGTTTGTCTTCATTTATGGCCCTAATGTAGTATTTCTTATTTATGGCAATGAACAGAAAACATGGAATTCATCTAGCAAAACTCTGACTATCTGCTCTTATGTCTCTTTGGTCGTTGAGAAAATTTAACAAATAGAAATTAGTAGAAAACGAAGATCGAATCTTGCTGATTTTGTTGTAGTATCAATGATGGTTAAAATTTGAGTAGTTTTGATGTGAATTTATAATTTCTATATGGGGGAAGTTCTCTCACATAGGTCTTGGTTTTGCAGGAGAAGATGAAAGTCAAGCTGCTACGTATCCTTGTCGTGAATTATAATATTATTTTTTTACCCCTTCAAAATCTTCTTCTGTCAAAACTTTTCTTACTCGAACCTGTTGCAACTTAGATATTATGTTTACATTGGTTTTAACAGAATTATTCATGACATCCTGTGACCAAACTCTAAGGTCGTCAATGCCATTGCCAGATCTTTCAAGAGAATGGTTGTCATGAATTTTTTATGGGTCTTTCATGTTAATCTTGATTAAATGATTTATTTCAAGTGTTGGATGCAGCTATGTGTCCAACGTGTATAAGTTCAACTTTGCAAGTTTGTTTCTTCTTTTTAAAATGTAGTTGGGGGATCCTTGGATTGTCGTATCTTTATACTCATGTTGAGAAATTTGTCAAATGTGGTATTTAAAGAAAACTGAAGAGTCAAAGTGTGGTTTATGTTTTTTTCTTGTATATACCTTCGATTTATGGCAAAAAACATTTTTTATGTTCGGCTTCAACCTTCTAAAATTTTGTTTATCATGCATGGGGAAGTAAGTAATGCTTGCAGCTTGCTTTTTGCTTGATTGATATCATATGTGGGTTAAATGGTACGAAGCTATGTTACTCAAACACTGGTATTACGTAAGTGTTGGTTTTGTATGTGCCCTACATAGTTATGCTCAATTTTTCATTTTAAAAGTTTTTTTTTCTCATGTATTTAGAGGGTCATATTCCCACATCCATGATGGACATGGGTATTTCAAGCAAAATAAAGAGTCGGACTTGCTTGTGTTTAAATATGACATTTGTTTTTTACTAGAAGAAGCAGTTTTCACTTGACCTATTTCTCTTCCTCTATCTTTTGTCTATAAACAGAGTAAGCTCTCTTTACCAATTGCATCTCAATTTAATTACTAAAAATAGATCGTGTTTTTTTGTTGGGTTTTCCTTGTTTTTTAATGATGAAAATCTCTTAACTATTGTCATTTTGATGACAGATGGCATGCTGTTGCTTCATGGACTTGGGATGCCCAAGATGAGACCTGTGGAATTTGTAGGATGGCTTTCGATGGTTGCTGTTCTGATTGTAAACTCCCTGGGGATGATTGCCCACTGAGTGAGTATTTACTTTGAGTTTTCATATTTGGCGGTACTGTTACGATAGTTTCTCATATTGTTGAGTCGTTATTTAGTTCCTTAATGGATTTTCTATGAGATGCTGTGCTTGTTAATAGTTCTTACCTTTTGGTTCTTGAGGACTATGTTACTATGTGTTAGTGTCTCCTATTCCTTTTTCCTTTAAGGAAAAAAAAAAAAAATCTGAGGACAGTTCTACTAAATTTGCTAAACAGCATTCATGTTAAATATATAAAAGTCTAGTTGCCTTTCTTTGAATACTTCATTAATATATAACCTTTTAGGAATTACTATAATTTTTAAGAGATTATAGCACCTTGTTGATCAAGAGCTCTTTTATTTTGATTCTTCATTATGGTTGATTTACGTGTGTCCAATACTCATATTTGGCTCATTTGAGTATGAAGATAACCCTCTTAATATATGGAAAACATATAAAGAAATTGAACAAATCCGTGTTGGACACATGTCTATACTTGAGACTCACACCCAAGTCCGAGGAGAATAGATCAAATGAAAGAGACACAGATTTGAAATTTATACGTGGATTTGATAGCAGGCAGTAATGCTCAATGGGGAACCTGCTACATGGTTTGCTTATATAATGATAGATCATATATATGATATATCGTCAAATATGACGCATATTTGTCTCCAATTTTACTTCAACTCTTTATTTTTCTTTTTGGAAGTATTCATATTTGACATATATCCAAGGATACATCATACAAATATAGTATGTAACCCACTAAAAATTCTCCAAAATACATGAAATTTGAAAAACTTAGAAAAAATGGACATGCTTGTTTTGATACTTTCTCCCAACTCCAAGTAACATATATTATCTCTACCTCCTCCATTATTTCATTTCTATATCATTGGTTGCTTATTTTATTCTATCTGTATATGTTTGGAGTTCATCACTTCATTATCTTGAACAAGTGTTTCTTTATGTTTGCCGTTTCCTCAACAATGATTATTGGTTGTTCAATTGCAGTTTGGGGTGCATGCAACCATGCTTTCCATCTTCATTGCATCCTGAAATGGGTGAACTCACAGACTGCTCAAGCACATTGTCCAATGTGCCGTCGGGAGTGGCAGTTTAAAGGATGACCACCCAATGCATTCATCGATGCTTATGTTGCAGGTGTTAAAACATGTACTTAACTCTTCTCCTTTTGATCTACATATACTCAATTCAAACTCCCTCCCTTTAGGCAAATGGCTATTACTCTGACTCTTGGAATATAAATTCAAAATACACACTGGACCAACTGCTTGAATTGAGAATAAATGGTTTGTTTAATCAACAATTTATGGCATGGAGGTATTTTTGTGATATAATATCTTGTTTTTTTATCAACACTTAAATTGTATTAGAACAAGTGTGATTTATCAATTATCAGTTGGCTTAACAAGAAGAGATGTTAGATCCTTTAAGTAAAGTCGAAAGTTCGAATTTTGGTCTTGTGAACAGAGAAAATTAGGTTGGGAGGACTTATACAGTACTCGATAAAGGATTAATCGACTCATAGTGTAGTTTTAAGATTGGAGAAATTATCTACACCACCTAAAACTCCACATATAGGGATCTATCTATATGCATTTGGATGTTCCTTTGCTTACATTTGTTGTCTCTGTCTTGTTGCATGAAGATAAAATACCAAATTTATGGTCTTTCTTTTGTTTGGTTTGAAACCAAAAACAAACAAAACGATGTTTTGTAATCACTTTGGAGAGATTTCTTGCCGTTCCCACATTTACCCCACTATGAAACAAAACTGAGGCCTTTGTTTTGTCTTTGTTAGGGCATGCTTGGCTCCTTCTAACCTTTAGGAATATGTTAAAGGTAACAATAAAAAATAAAAATGTCTTTAAAGAGGCCTGCCTTTAGATTCCTGTCCACTTAATGTCATGACAAAAGTTATCAAGTTAGTGTAAACTTTTTTTTTATATGAAATATACTACGATTTTTTTAATTATATTCAAATGACATTTTTATCATTTAACTGATAAAAAATATAATATGATCGTCAAACTTTATCAAATTACTGTAAAATAATTACCATAATGTTATAATAAATATAATATTTTATTTAATGATGAAAATATTTTTTTTAAATATAATTCAACGACTTATGATATATTTTATTTTATTTTATTTCTTTTTAGAATAGAAAAGATAAAATAAATGTTTCTTTGGGCTAAAATTTATTTTACTAATTTTTAGTGTATTAATATTAAAATATAAAAAAATGAGAATCGAGACACTTCATCAAAATCAGTTAATATTTGATAACCAGACAAATTGATTTTTTTTGTTTTGATAAATCTTGATGAATATAAGGTAGTATATGTTCAAAAAATTTTAACCATTTGACAATGAACACCTATATTTCTATATATGCGGTGCTTGAAATCAAAATCTCAAGAGATAATAATAAATCATTGAACCATTGAGATCGTTTGGTTCGTACTGTTTTTAAATTAATTCATATTGGTACCGATATATTTGGATGTATTATTTGAATATTTTATATAAAGTATATCTAGATTCAAATATACTTCAATTAAGATAAGAGCATTAAAAAAAATTAAATTACAAAAAGGATCGTATAGATCGTCAACAACGATTTGAAACACATCCAAACGATCAAAACATGTAAAACATTATTTCTATTTTGTATTGTATTTTAATTTTTTTATCATATTTCAAAAAAATGTAATACAATTAATTCAAAAAAAAATGTAATACAAAATAAAATGTAGGGTTGATGGTAGAGAAAAGAAAAAGGTAAAAAATAAGGATGTAAAAGACAAAAGCGAAGTAGAAAAGAGAAACAAATAGTCTCCGCATTGTAGGTTATTATTTTGTTGAATCATTAGAATATTAAAAATTATAAAATAATCATTTGATTATTCGTTATATTATAAACTCATTATTTTTATATGAGCTGGACGTTAACTTGCTGATTGAGATATGATAAAATCTAATTTCATAATCTCAAAAGTTATTATATCTCAACCACCATATTAACGTTCAACTCAGAGGACTATTAATTTTCTAACGAAAAATGACGAGTTTGGAACATAATGAATAGTCGGACGACCATCTTGTAACTTTTAATAGTTAAGAGACTAACCAAAGTAACACCCTATAGTCGGAAAATTATTTTATAACTTTTAATAATCGAGAGATTTAAAAATATAGTAATATGTAGTCTTGGGACCATTTGTGTACTTCACCCAAAAAGAAAAGGCTCAGTTCTAGATAAAATGGTAAACTACTCCAATGGTCATCAATGTTTAGGTAAGTTTTGTTTTCACTACTGATGTTTCAAAAGTCACAAATCGATCACTAATGGTATCGTTTGTTACAAATTGGTCACTCGCAGTTAACATGCGTGACGAAAAACACACGTAGAGTACACACGTGGAGTGTTAACAGCCGTTAACAGGCTTACCTGTATGGTATAATTACACAAATAGTCCATATTATTTATATATTCTTTCAATTCGATCATAATTTTAATAAATTAAAATAAATTTACCTACGAATCAAGAGGTGACACATGTCACTCTCTGGTTGGAATAAAATAAAGCAACAAAGAAGCAAGTGGGGGGATTCAAACATAAGACTCTTCAGGAAGTAATGCAAGCCAAGCCATTGAACCAAAGCAACCATTTGACATATTTTGGACAACAAATAGTATATAACTTGTATATTAGTATGTAAATGATTCACTCAAAATTAATATGATATATATCTTAGATTTTAAAATTATATCTTTATTTTTGTTTTAACTTATTAATTTTTTATTTTTGTCTTAATTTGTTAAATATATTTTGTTTTTATTTTAATGTAAAAATATATATTTTATCATTATCATCAATTAAAAATATATATTTTACTCTTATTTTCATTTAAAATATATATACTATTTTTATATATTTTTAAAAGTTAAGATAATAATAAAATGTATTTTTAATTTAAAATAAGAATAAAATATATTTTTAAGTAAAGATAAGAATACAATATTATATATATTTTTAATTTAAAATAAGAGTAAAACATATATTTTATATTAAATTAATAATAAAATATTTAAATATGTTTCAAGTTAAGATATTTAAAAAAAATATTTTTAAGTGATGATAAAGATAAAATATATATTTTTACATTAAAATAAAAATAAAATATATTTAATAAATTAAGACAAAAAATAAAAATATTTAATAAGTTAAAACAAAAATAAAGAGATAATTTTAAAATTTAAGATATATAACATATTATTAATTTTGAGTAAAACATTTACATACTAAGATACAAGATATATACCATTTGTTGTTCAAAATATGTCAAATGGTTGCCTCGGCTCAATAGTTCGAATCCCTCTACTTGCTTCTTTGTTGCTTTATTTTATTCCAACCAGAGGGAACCCTTTGGTTGGTAGAAATAAATATATTAAATTAAAAATAAATTAAAATAAATTTAATATTCCAATCAAATGATAACATGTGTCATGATAGGTGTGTAACCAATGACATATAACACCTCCTAATTCGTAGGTAAATTTATTTTAATTTATTAAAACTATGATCAAATTGAAAGAATATATAAATAATATAGATTATTTGTGTAATTATAGCATCCATGTATGCCTATTAACGAATGTTAATAGTTCATGTGTATTTTTCATTACGCCTGTTAACGGTGAGTGACTAATTTGTAACAAACGATAACATTAATAATTTATTTGTAACTTTTGAAACATTAGTAGTGAAAACAAAAACTTACCCAAAAATTAGTGACCATTTGAGTAGTTTACCCTAGATAAAATTCCATATTCCACTCATAGAGGGAGCGACAACAAATCATGAAACGACAAATTCTTGTTTTGCCCATTGTTGTTGCAATGACCAAAACCAAGCATTTTCCCTTCCTTTTTCATAACTCTAAGCTTAGAGCTTTTAATTCGGATTCTGAAACCCCTTTCTTGATTCTCACAAAAGAACCCAGAATGACGATCAACTGCAAAACCCATTAAGGGTTTGGCTCAGCCCTTCTTCTTAATTTACTTAGCTTCTATACTTTTATCCTTCTTTTCCGATGAATTCTGGGTACTGTTGAGTTCATGGAAATCTGAATCTTGCATAAGAAGCTTTGAGCTTTGTATTTTAATGGTGCCAATGTCCCAAGACGAATCATCGCCTCTTCAAGTTTTCTCCATGATCTCACTCTCACCTAACTTAGGATCACCGTATCCATGGCTTAGAAAGCTGAAATCTGAAGAAATGGGTTTGTATTTGATCCATTTGTTGCTAACTTGTGCTAATCACGTGGCGAATGGTAGCCTCGAGAATGCAAATATCACGCTGGAGCAAATATCCCAACTTGCTTCTCCTGTGGGCGATACAATGCAACGAATCGCTGCGTACTTCACCGAGGCGCTTGCGGATCGAATCCATAAAACCTAGCCTGGTCTCCACAAGGCCTTTAATTCCATTAGTGTGACTTTCGTTTCGGAACAAATCCTCGTTCGGAAGCTGTTTCTTGAGATGTTCCCCTTTCTGAAGGTGGCGTTTGTTCTTACTAACCAAGCTATAATCGAAGCGATGAAAGGCGAGAAGATGGTTCATATCTGAATACAGCTGAGCCTATGCAGTGGATCGCACTTATTCAAGCTTTGAGTGCTAGGCCTGAAGGGCCGCCACATTTGAGGATTACGGGGATCCATCAACAGAAAGAAGTTTTGGATCAAATGGCTCATAGATTGACTGAAGAAGCTGAGAAATTGGATATCCCGTTTCAGTTTAATCCCATCCCATGCTTAGCAAACTAGAAGATCTTGACATCGATAATTTGCGTGTTAAAACCGGGGAGGCTCTGGCAATCAGCTCTGTTCTCCAACTGCATTCCCTTTTGGCTTCCAACGATGAACTCGTCCGGAATAAGTCGACATTAGCATCGAAGAAATTGAATGGAATTCACATGTAAAGATCCCTCTAAATGAACCAGAACACCCAAGGAGAGTTGCTCGAGAAAGATGCGGTTAATGCATGTAGTCCTAGCCCAGATTCCGCCTCATCATCACCGCTATCTTCATAGGCGTCGGCTAAGGTAGATAGCTTTCTTAATGCATTGTGGGGTTTGTCTCCTAAACTCATGGTCATAACAGAACAAGATTCTAATCACAACGGATCTGCTATGATGGAAAGGCTATTGGAGTTTCTTTACTCGTACGCAGCCTTGTTCGATAGTTTGGATGGAGTTCGACAGTCTCGAAAGCGATGTTGGAGAGACTTGAACTCGAAAAGATGCGTTTCGGGAATGAAATAAAGAACATAATATCATGCGAGGGAGTTGAGAGGAAGGAGAGACACTAAAAGCTGGAGAAGTGGATTCAAAGGCTCGATTTAGCCGGCTTCGGAAACGTTCCTTTGAGCTGCTACGGGATGTTGCAGGCAAGGAGATTACTGCAAGGTTATAACTGTGACGGGTATAAAATGATGGAGCAGAACGGATGCGTCGTGAATTGCTGGTAAGACCGACTACTGTTCTCGGTATGGGCTTGGACGTGTAGGAAGTAGTAAACTTCATATGAAAACGTGTAGAACTTCCTTGTATATGTGCTTTCATTTTCAGCTTGCTAATTGATTCTAAATTGGACGCTTAACATTATTATTAAAACAGAGGAACGAAGCTTACATCAGGTAGGACTGAGCACACACCGCTGAAACTATGATAAGTTTCAACTTATTTTACATGTTATACACACACACACACATATATATATCACCATCTTTTTCTGCAGATATTTGATGAAATTTGTTCACTTGGGGGACCCAAACCAGGGTCTCCTTGGTGAGAAAATGGCAAACGGGAACAGTTCCAGGCTTAACTTTTAAGAATCTGAAAAGAAAAGTGATCAGGGCTCCAAGCTGATGTATCTTCGTGACAGATAGCCAATAGTTTAGCCTTCCCTGACCCGTCGGCGATCACCAACGGAACAGTATAGGCCGTTGTTTTCTTGATTGAATGACATAACAACACAGCATATGCATATTTCATTTTGTGGCACACCATCTTCGTTCCCCCCACCTTTTTCGTTTCCCCAACGTGTTGGAGTTTAGTGTGCGTTGCATGGTTTTGCATGGTCTGGGTGTTTGGCACGTCTTCTGTTAAGAGTTTGTTAAAGAGTTGTTTTGAGTTGGTTATCAGTCTTGACTTGTGACTGTAGACTTGTATATATAAATTCCTTTTGTGTGACTTTGAAAAATACTCATAATTCTAATAAAAGTTTCTGAGAAGTTTTCCTTTCCTCTTTGTTATGATCACTCTTATGATAGTTGTTTGGCTATCTTAACATGGTATCATTTGCCATGTCCTGGTGGTTCGTTGTCCGCTGTGTGTTTTGTTGAGCTGATTCTTGTCTGTTGCGATTTGTAGAGTTTCAACGGTTCTCATCTGTTGCAGTTTTCAATCAAGCGCTTGAGCAAGATGAATCAGATCTGGTGTGTTGTTTCTTGTTTTGATTCTCTTTCGACTAATGCTTGGTTTCTTTCTGTTCTGATTTGTTTACGAGGTCTACATGTTGATTGCAAACATGTTTGTCTCGCGTTGATTCATTGGTAGATGAGCAAACTAGTAATTGTTTAGTGGTTGACTATTTATGGTTTTTTTTTTGTTTGTTGTGGTGAGAGGCATGGTTGATCCGCAGATTGTCTCTCCGGTGAATTCCATCGGGAATTACTTGGTTCTTTCTCCTAGTTTATCAAGTGTTCAACATATTCCTAAACATGACACTGTTAAACTTGCTGAAAATACTTATTTGCTTTGGAAGCATCAAGTGTCTCTTATTATTGATGGTTATGGTTTAGTGAAATATATTACTCCTGATAGTGTTGTTCCGAGTTAGTGGATCACGAATGAGTTTGGTCAGATTGAGGAGAATCCTACCTTTGTTGTGTATAGACAACAAGATAAATTTCTAGCATCTTGGTTATTGACGAAGATTAGTGCGAATGTTCTACCTCATCTTACGGGTATTACGTCTTCACTTACTATTTGGAATGCAATAACACGGTTGTTTGGAGCTAGATCTAATGCTAAAATTTTTGCACTTTGACATAGTCTCTCAACAAAAGGTTGGTTCATATTTGAGTGAGTATTTGGCGAAAGTGAAGTCTATATGTGATATGTTGAATGCGGCTAGGTATGTTGTTATCGAGCAAGAGCAGGTCAGTGTTGTGCTTGCTGGGTTATCCATGGAGTTTGAGTCAAATATTGCCATTGCATCTCGTGAAGTCTTGTATATGTGCTTACTAATATGCTTCTCGATTGTGAGGCTGAGCAAAAGTTTTTCTTAGCGATGGTATTTCGGCTGATATGACAGTTCATTCAAGTGATACTCGTGTTGGTGATGTGCCTGCAAAGATTTCCTCCGAAGGTGGTCATTCTGAGAAACAATCTTCTCAAATGAGAGGGCAGCAAGGTAGCGGTTATCATGGTCAAGGTCAAGGAAGATTTAATGGCTCAAATCAACTTCAATGTCAGTTGTGCGGCAAATTTGGTCATACTATTCAAAAGTGCTATCATCGGTTTGACAGGGATTTTATTGGGGTCGTTACTAGTGATGTTTCGAATGGTGACGGTTGGAAGCGGTCGTTGGGTTTGAGTGTTGATAGTCACTCGTATCCCAATAGAGTGCAAGCTTACACTCATTTTGTGGCTTATCATTACTCTACTTATCCGGCTGGTTTGGTATACCCAGCTTCTCTTTATTATGGAGTTCCAGGTATGTCAGCTTCCTTTTACCATGGGTTTCCTTATTTGTCTGGTTTGATGGCGTATCCATTTGTTGCGATGCCGTTTGGACCCTCACCTGCTGATACCCATTTTAGTTCGTCTACTGTGACTACACCATCGACATCATTTGTTTCTGCCTTACCCGGTGCTTCTTCGGTTGTGCCAACTCAGTCTAAGTTTGTTGATGCTCTTTGGTATCATGAAACTGGTACAACTCATCATGTCTCGAATGATCTTTCGGTGTTTGACTCAGGTATTGCCTACACAGGTAATAATACACTTCTTATGGGTAATGGTAAGGGTGTTACGATTACTCATATTGGTCAAGGTTGCTTGCAGTATAGTTTCAAGCCTTTGATTTTGCAAAATATGCTCCACGTTCCTGACATTAAGAATAAATTGTTGTTTGTCTCTCAATTCACGCGTGATAATAATGTGTTTCTCGAGTTTCACCCTTTTGAATGTTTTGTGAAGGATGCTCAGACTCGGACCATTCTGTTGTGAGTGAAGCTCACGGATGAAGGGTTGTATCATTTGCTTCCATGTGTGGAAAAGGAACCTCGTTGTCTTGTGAATAATATGTCAAAATCGCAAACTCTCTTGGACCTGTGGCATAGACGTTTAAGTTATTATTCTATTAAGACTGTGAAGGTTGTTATGAAATCTTATAATGTGTTTTCTGATGCAAATAATTTGTCCCAAGTTTGTACAGTTTGTTTGTAAGGCAAGACTCACAAGCTGCCGTTTTGTAATTCATTGACTGAATATACAACACCTTTTCAATTGGTTGTATCTGATGTGTGGGGGCCAACACCCTTTACTTCTTTTGATGGTTTTGCGTATCATGTGCCATTTATTGACGTTTTTAGCAGACATATTTAGCTTTATATACTTGAGCGTAAATCTGAAGTGGGGCAATTTTTTTTTAAAAATTTTATAAGATGGTTGAGGTTCAGTTTGGATAGAAAATCAAAGCTGTTCAAAGTGACGGTGGCAGTGGCAGTGAATATCAGGTACTTTATGGGTGGTTTCTTACTCATGGGATTCAACATCGGATTTCATGTCCGAATACGTCGGAGCAGAATGGAAAGGCTGAGAGAAAACACATGCATGTGGTTGAAATGGGATTAACTCTGCTGGCTTAAGCAAATTTGCCTCTGAAGTTTTGGAGCTATGCGTTTACATCGGTGGTTTATTTGATAAACCGGTTGCCAACTGATATGCTAGCTGGTAAATCTCCATTTGAAGTGTTTTATCAAACATCACCTTATTATTCTGATTTGAGAGTGTTTGGTTGTGCATGCTTTCCGTTTCTACGGCCTTTTAATTGGCACAAGTTGAGGTTTCGATCTTGAAAATACGTGTTTCTTAGGTACAACTCGTCTCATAAGGGTTATAAATGCTTGGATGATAATGATCGGATATTTATCCCTCGTCATGTAATTTTTTATGGGACCGTTTTTCTGTATAACGTTTTCAAGATTATTAGTAAGCATGGTGATGAGCATGGGGTTTCTAATGGAATGTTGCATGTGGTGGTTGTTTCGCAAGATATGTATCCGGTTGACAGGGGTGTTGATGAAGTGCGTTTGACTCCAGTCCAAGCTGTGTGTGATGTTTTATCTGCTGATGAACGAGTGTCTTTACCCACTCCGAATGTTGTACCTGGCCAAGAGTTGACTAGTGGTGTTAATGAAGTTTTCATGCAAGAATAACGAGGTCCTATTTTACCTGTTAATGTAAGAGATGATGTGGTTGCTTTGGGCAGAGTGCATGATAATATTTTAATTGCTGGTGATAATAATGCTTTTGTACCAGAGGAGCATGAGATGGTTTTACCTAGAGGTCAAAGGGAGTCGTGTTCACGTGAGGTCTTGACTGAGCAGGAGCCAGCTGCCTCGGCTAGACAGGTGCCTTTTGCTTTGGACAATGTGCTTGTTTTGTGCTATCTTCAAAATGAGGTTGCGGGGCTCTTATTATTCCACCGATTGAAGATACGTATCATAGTGTTGATTTACCAGCTGCTTCGACTAGACAGGTGCCTTTTGCTTTGGACAATGTGCATGTTTTGTGCTATCTTCAAAATGAGGTTGCGGCCTTGCGGGGCTCTTATTATTCCACCGATTGAAGATACGTGTCATAGTGTTGATTTACCAGCTGCTTCGAGTGATACGTGTATTAATGTTCATCCCATGCTCACTAGAAGTAAAAGTTGAATTTGGAAACCAAAAATTTTCAGGTTGCGAGTTCTGATCGAGAGCCTCGAAATATAAATGAAGCTTTATTGTATCCTCATTGGAAGGCTGTTGCGCAAGCAGAATACGATGCTTTGGTTCGGAATGAGACCTTGTCGCTCGTTTATCTTTCCGTTAATCGGCTAGCAGTCGTTTGCAAGTGGTTGTTTAAGGTGAAGAGAAATGCAGATGGCTCCGTAGCCAGGTATAAAGCTCGTTTTATAGCAAAGGGGTTTCTTTAGCAATTTGGTGTTAATTTTTATGAAGTTTTCAGTCCTATAGTTAAGTCTTCCACGGTACGCGTTATTCTTTCGCTTGCTCTGACTCGTGGTTGGAAGTTACGACAAGTTGATATTAATAATGCATTTTAAATGGGATTTTTACTGAGGAAGTGTATATGACTCAGCTGCCAGGTTACGAGCGGAGTAATGGTAATCTTGTTTGTAAACTTCACAAGGTCATTTATGGGCTTAAACAAGCTCCTAGAGCTTGGTTTAAGCGACTCCGAGGGTATTTGGAATCCGAGGGTTTTGTTTTAGCAAAATCTGATTATCTCTTTATGTTCACAAATCGACTTCTAGTGTAATATATTTGTTGGTGTATGTTGACGATATTATTCTCACTGGGAATATTGTTGATGAAGTGCAACTATTTATTGACAAGTTGAACAAACAATTTTCGTTAAAAGATCTTGGCTCTTTAAGTTATTTTTTGGGGGTCGAGGTCTGTTATGAAGCAGGCGTTATTGTGTTGTGCTAACGGAAATATATTGGTGACTTGTTACAGCGAAGTGGTTTTGTTGGTGCTAAGGGTCTTCCTACACCCATAGTGTCAAATTGTAAGTTGTCGGTTAAGGATGGGTCTCCTTTTGAAGATCCTGCTCACTACAGAAGTATAATTGGTGTCTTGCATTATGTAGTCATTACTCGGCCTTATGTGGCGTTTGCTGTCAACCGAGTGTGTCAATTCATGCAGGCTCCTCTTGATGCTCACTTTCAAGCTGTGAAACGGATCCTGCGTTATCTCTAGAGTACTATTGATTTTGGTTTGCGCTTCTCACCTTATTCAAAGTTGACGTTAACTGGTTTCGTCGATGCCAATTGAGGGTCGGATGTGGATGATAGGCGCTCCTCTTCTGGCTATTGCATCTATTTTTCTGGAAACTTAGTCTAGTGGAGTTCTCGGAAACAAGTTGTAGCCAGGTCTACTGCTGAGGCTGAATACCGGAGTGTTGGGTGTGCTGCGGCTGATATGGTGTGGCTTACGTCCTTGCTTACCGAGTTGCTGGAAAATTGCAGGTTCATGAGGTTCCAACCGTTGAGCAGGTTGCCGATGTAGTGACTAAACCATTGTATGCTCCTTTATTTCTAAAGCATTTACAAAGGCTGCTGGTTGTTGAACTCAAGGACACGTTGGTCTTCGACGTGTTGAGCAGCAAGGAGAATGTTGAAGAATGAAAGTCTTCGACGGGTTGAAACGTAGGGAGAATGTTGGAGTTTAGTGTGCGTTGCATGGTTTTGTATGGTTTGGGTGTTTGGCACGTCTTCTGTTAAGAGTTTGTTCCAGAGTTGTTTTGAGTCAGTTATCAGTCTTGACTTGTGACTGTAGATTTGTATATATAAATTTCTTTTGTGTGACTTTGAAAAATACTCTTAATTCTAATAAAAATTTCCGAGAAGTTTTCCTTTCCTCTCTGTTATGATCACTCTTATGATATCTGTTTGGCTATCTTAACACGACGAGGGCAAACACTCGGTTTTCGATCTCTTTCTCTACATAGTTGGACAAAACGTGGAAGTTTTTCCCGAGTTTGGAAACGGTCCAGTCGATCAAGGATTCTAAAGATGTAGCGCAGTACCTTTGTTCACCTTTCATGGCTGGTATTTCGCAGTTTTGAATGGTTTGTTTTATTAGATTAGCCTCGCCGGACTTTGGTTCCAGTGAGAAATACTTGAAGGTTTCTAGGAACTTCCGGCTGGAAAAGGGTATTGATTGTGCAATTTGACGAGGCAAGAACGAAGCCTTGTTCCTTGTCTTCAAGATCTCGTTTACTTTCAACGTCCTACCGACGGGTAGTTGGTTTTCCAAGAAAAAGATAGCTTTGCCATTTGCTTCAGCCTCTTTATCTACAATATTCAGTTAGCAACTTAGCATATAGTATTCCAATATATATATATATATGGGATTGGATGATAGGTGATAGGATATAATTTATTTATATTTTGTAAAATTTAGGGTAAAATATATTGAGTCTCTTAATTATGTATTTAGTAACAAACCAATCACTTTTTTCTAAACATTACACTGGAGTCGTTTAATTAAAATATTGTTACAAATAAGTCACTGACAATTAAATATTAGATAAAATAATGATATGACTTGACATAATAATAATTTTAATATTCTAAATTTATAAACTATACCAATTTAGCCCTAATTTGAAACAACTGAATAAGTTTAAACAAAGACTAAATTTAATGAACTATTTTGAATTAAGACTAAATTGATGTAATATATAAGTTTTAAGGACTAGAATTAGAATTATATGTCATGTTTGATGTTTGTTTTAATGAAAATAGATGCCGAGGAAGTCAACGATGTTGGTGTTGGAATGGACCATCTCCGCCAATGCTTTCGTGGTTACTGCAGACGGAGAAGGGTTTAAGAGAATTTGCAGGGACTTGGGCATTGGGGTGTTTGGGAACACAGATTCCCATTATTTTTGTGGAGGCATAATAGCAGCATCTACATTCCCTGCAAATGATACCTGCATCCAAACAAACCAAATTTAACCACCTCCATCAGCTACAACAAATTAAGTTCAAACCATATAAAATAGGCATTTGATTTTATGTTATAAGTATGTATATAAAAAATTATATTAAAAATTTTAAGATATACAATTATAAAATTAATATAAATATATGTGTAAAAGAATCTAAATTATACGAGGATTTAAAAATTTTATATAAGATTATCGGTTGAATCGACCTGACTCGAGAAGTATTGGCATGACCCTAGAAGTACAACTCATCCACTCGAACCCGATCCGAGTTTATGGAAATTTCATTTTATTTTAAACCCGACTAAAATTTTAGAATAAAGTCCGCATCCGACTCAATATAGATATATAAAATAATTTTTTTTATTTGATAAAATAAGGAGCTAATTAAAAAATATAAAGAGAGTATTATAACAATTAATTTTAAATATATAAAAGAAAATTATACTATTATTTGGAGTCGTGTTAAGTCAAAGATTTTTCAAACTAAATCTAAAACTCGACCCTATTTCACCATTTATAAAACTCAACTTGATCCAACTCAAAATTAATTATTTAATTAAAAAAACAGTTATATTGGATCAAATCAAGATACAATCCATCGAATGAATATGAAATTAACACCCCTATCCATCGACCCATGATATTAATCTGTAATACATGAATAGCTCTGAAAAATATATTTTATTACATTGACAAATAGAACGATGAAGAGAATGAAACGGAAGTGATCCATTGAAATTCTGTGGAACCTTGGGATGAAACTCTCTCTATATATACAGGGTCCAATTTTCTAGAAAGACCTCATTTTAAACGTAATTTGCGGATTTAGTCCATTAATTATAATTGCTTATAAGGACATGATTGGAGGTGTGGGGAGATGGAGACGAAGCAGTAGTCAGAGAGAGAAGATTTAATTTATAGCCCTTTAAAGAGTAAACCAAAATGACAATTTGTCAATAAAAGAATGTCCATCTGTCCCTATTCTTCCTCCCCACAAATAATTGAATTTGGAGTTGACTTACAATGCAGGTTTAAGTTTTAGGACTGATCTTAAAAATGGATTTTGGGTCGACAGCTGATCTTAAGATTGTTTGAAAATGACATGGTCGAGAATTGATTTTGGGTCGATGAGATTCGTTTTGATAATCGTCGAGATTTGATTTGAAGAAATAAGTTAATCTTCTATCTATTAATACTTCTGAACCAAAGAGAGTACGATTCAAAAATTGTTAAGACTTGTTCTTGGATTGATGAATCTGTTTTCGCACTTAGGAATGGTAATTGGGTGAATCGGAATGAGTTTTTGGTCGAATTGAACCCGACTCGACATCAACTCTTTAAAAAAAAAATTTACTCGCACAGTCGCACTGAAAATTTAAATAAAAATTCGACTCTAACTCAATTTAATTTAGTCTAACATATTTTTTTGTCAAAAAAGAATAATTGAATAAAGTGTTAATTTATACAATTTAATAACACGAAATTAATATAATATCATAATTTTAATATCTTATATGTTAATTTTTATATTTTTTCATCAAAACCTAATTAATAATGTATAAATACATAAAATGATACTTTTATAACTATCTAATTTAAATTTTATAAAATAAAAAAAATAACCATGACGATCCAAATTGAGTCAATACTCGTCGAATACTTCTTTTTTTGCAATCCTTTATAAAATCCATCTTCAAAATTGGATTGATCTCGTTCATGTCACATAAAAAAAAGGATTGACAAACTTTTAGATTTCTTCGAGTATTGAAATTAGATGGATAATGTTCGAAGACTCTCAATCATTTGATATTAAACGCTCATACCCTACATACACGGTGTTTAAATCCGGAACCTCAAGGGATAACAACAATTTTTTAACCAATGAAATCGCTTGATTTGTGCTAGTAAGTACAATAGGTGGATAGTGGTATTTAATTTTCAAAATATAAAATTTCATATTTTCCTTACTTTTTTTATGATAAAATGATGTCATGTATTATCTTATTGGATGGTATTAATTTATTATACGAGAAAAATCTTGATAAATTTTTTGAAAGAAAGCACTTTCTTAAAAGTATGTAGTTTATAAAGAATATTTATCCAGTTAAATTTGTATCTATAAATAGATAAAGTATATAACCATTAATATACGAAATTGATTTCATTGTTGTCATTGAAATTACAGACAAGTTTGTGCTGGACTATGTATGTTACGTAGTGGCCTGCGATGATTCCAAGCACTAGTGTATATCACTTGGGAATTTTCTCACGGTATATCCTTAAAACACCATTACAGCTTCTTCTTTCTTGTAAGCTTTCAATTTTTGTGTGCGTCTCTTTCTGTGTGTATATACATATATACATGTATTATGTTACATTTCAATTCGAAGATCGCATACCTCACATATCCAAAGTTCCAGACAGCTTGTCTGCAGTCTTTCATGGCGTTTCGTTCCCTTTTCATCGTCGTTTTACTTTGTGTATGCCTTCACCATCTTTTGCTCTAGTTATACATATATATATATATATATATATATATATATATAGGATTAGTCTGTTAATTGATTATTATCCGTTTTTACATTTAATAATAATAATAAATTTACAGTTTGGATTTGGAGGAAGGCATGCAATTCGGACAAAAGAGGAGCTTCATTGGATGTCTGTGTTTCCACACTCTCCAATGCCCGCTGTTTTGCAAGACATTCTGCCAATACCTGGTTTCATTTTCAATATCAATCTCTTTTAAGAGAATAATATAACCAACCAAATCATGATAAACTACTTATTTAATCAATCCTCTATTTTCATATTTCTATAATGAAAACAGAAATAAAACATAACGCTAAGTATATGAATTAATTAACCCATAGTTTTATTAACAAATCATGTATACAGGTCGAAAAGGAGTAAAGGATCCAGTGTTTTCTGATGAAGTATCCAGCACCGAGGATTCTCCGGACAACAAAGGAATTGATGATCCTGTATTTGGTGCTTATTGGTATGATTATTCCTACAAAAAATCCAAAACCAAAGATGATTCAAACAAAAAATCAAACACCGAAGATTCTTCGACAAACAAAGGAGTCAATGATCCTGAATTTGGTGCTTATTGGTACGATTATTCATACAAAAAATCCAAAACTGGAGATTCAGGTAAAAATTCTAACACCGAGAATTCTCCGACAAAAGAAGTAAGAGATGATCCCAAAGAATATACTCCGATAAACAAGAATGGTACGTGTGCTAACATTATATATTTCAATAATCATATTATGTCAAATTAAAGTATAAGGATTAAAATTTTAATTTGAGTACAGTAAAGAGACCAAAATTGTAATTAATGATTTTTTTAAACACTAATGTAGTAAATAGAAAAGCTTTGGGGGGACAGAGTAAGCAAGAAAATACAGCTACAAATGAAACCATTTATTTCCTTGAAGAGACTCTTTTCCCCGGTACGAAGGTGAACTTACCAAGACTCTTAGAGAAGAGGGACATGACCACATTCTTGCCCCAGCAAACTGCAGACTCGCTGCCGATGTCAGACGATAAGTTATTACCGGAGATCTTGAAAAACTTCTCGTTGAAAGCCGAATCCAAGGGCACGGGTTACGTGAAGATAGCATTGACGAACTGCGCGAGAGATGAAATGAGAGGCGAGACTAAGTATTGCGCCTCATCATTAGAATCCTTCGTCGATCTAGCCGTTTCGCTCTTCGGGGAAAACATTCGATTGATTTGGCATGAGCTTGGGGACGAAACGAAGAACCCGTCGTTTACGATCGGTAAAGTACGGAAAATAGGAGAGAACGATATCGTTTGCCACAAGATGAAGTACCCGTATGCAGTGTATTTATGCCATGCGATTGAGAAAACCGTGGTTTATAAAGTTCCACTCGCAAGCGACGACGGGACAAAGGCTAACGTCGTGGCGGTTTGCCATCTAGATACGTCGGCTTGGAGCCCTAACCATATGGCGTTCAGGACACTTAAAGTGAAGCCGGGAACTGTTCCGGTTTGCCATTTCCTTGCTCGTGACACACTCGTCTGGGTCCCCAACTGAGTTGCTTGTATAAAGATTACATGCATGGTTAACTGAATAATGTCAAAATTGCAATAAGTGTCACGTTGGACACAAAGATTGATTCAAATTCAGTTAACTGAATAAAGTTTATATACTTGGAGACACCTTTAGTTCCTGGATAAACTAATATAATTAAGGTTAGTGTTCTACATATTCCAATTTTTAATTATTTTGAGAATAATCACCTATTATCTATTCATACATGATATAGTTATCCCGTACGTCTGATTTTATTAATAAATTATATAAATTAAATTATTTATCAATATATATATGTTAGCTGCAATAATAAGATGTGCCATACTTTTGATTAAAAAATTTAATTTCGAACCTTAAAAGATAGATTATATACATTAAAGATATAAAAGTAGATGGTTATTCTCCTCAAAATGTTAACATGTATTTTTTTTTTAAAATGACTCACTCCAACGCTAAGAATAAATGTTTTAATAAAAATTCATTCATTATTTTAATCAATATAATTAATATTATGTAAAAATTTATTTTGATTGGTATCTGGTAGTATATTTTTTAAAATAAGTATTTTTTTCTTGTAAAAATATTATGTAAAATGTCAAAACAATAATTATACTTAATTTATTTTCTTTATTTTCAGAGTTTATTTTGAGAATCTCGTTGAGTCATTGTAGCGTTTAACCAAAGTAATTACCAAACGCTGTCTTGTGAGTGACGGCCATTTCCCCGAGAAAATCCACAGGGTTTTCACTTTGCAACCCAAAAAGAGAAGGAAAACACGACAGACCGAGCTTTGACTAGAAAAATGGAAGCAAAGGTAGGGAAATTCTTCGAGTCGGTGAATAACTTCTTCTCCGGCTCAGATCAGCTTCCTTGGTGCGATTCTGATATCATTGCAGTAAGTGCTGTGCTTCACCCCTTTTTTATCTCTCTAAATTTCAGATTTTCTTCTAGATCTTTGTATTGATTGCCTTGAATTCTACGGATTGACTTTTTTTGGATTTCTGGGCTTTGGAATAATTTTCAATATGATTCGTATTTCCTTCTCAAATTCGTTTTTCTTAGGGTGTGGGGTTTTGTCAATTTTAGAGTAATTTCATGTAAACAAAAGCAATTGCGGTAGATTATAAATTTGTAGTTGTCTTTACTGTTAAACTTTTAGATGAATATGGGTACCTTTTTAGTTTGAATCATCTGGTGCTATCATTTATTGTGATTTGTGAGGCAGCTTTTTAATTAATAGCTGATAGAAATTTCTGTATTATAAGGCAATTCATGTACCCGTTTCTTTAATTGTTCCCTGATTGATTATTTTGTTTAAAGCATATGCCTCGGATTGCTGCCCGTATCGAGTGATTGGTATCCTCCTTGTTTGTTTGCCTCATCTGCTTTGCAGGGTTGGAAATAAGAGCATCTAGGAGGGAGAGTCCGAAAAATACTTGAGGGCTGTTGTATCATGTGGAATTGGAACCCCCTTTGACCTTCATTTTTGTTTCTTAATCCGACTGTTTTTGTTTGAAAACCTCGGTATCATGTTGAATTGGATTTTGGAACCCCATTTGGCCTTAATTTTTTTGTTGTGGCTTCTTCTCCTTGAAAAACATAATATGTGAATTAGCAAAGAGAAAAGTATCCATAATGGTTAAGCCGATGAAAAAGGATCATAATGGTTGTTTTCATGGTACTGGAACTATTTTGTGGCTTGCCCTTTTTCTGATTTAATTCTTGGATTTCACTATTGATGTGAGGCATGTACATTAATATTCACCCCATCGAATTGTTTATAATATATGTATCTTTTCTCCTGCATGATGAAATAATGTTTAAAACGTAGATTCGTAGTTTGATGAGCTGACTAAATGCCCTGGCTTTGTACATAATGGTAAAGACTAGAATTGATTTGATATTTTTTTCGTTTGTCTTTAAAACCATTCTCAGGGATGTGAAAAGGAGGCTGCGAAGGCTGATAAAGGTTCTGAAGGGTTAAAAAATGAATGTCTCACTCGATTTTCATGGGCTCTTGTTCACTCGCGGCGAGCAGAAGATGTAGAACGTGGGATAGCTATGCTCGAAGGTCAAACTGATTCCTTCAGACTTTCCACAAAAGCAGTTGCAAGCTGCTGTTGAGATTTATTTCTGATTAATCTTTACATGTCCAATTATGTTGAATTAAAATATTTGTTATTTGCAGCTTCATTGGCCAGCACTGCCGATCCACTGAAGATGCGAGAGAAGTTGTATCTTCTGGCTGTTGGACATTTCCGAAGGGGTGATTATTCAAGGAGCAGGGAGCTTGTGGAGCAGTGTTTAATGGTTGATATTTACTATCCTTATTCACTAATGTTACTCTAGATATTATGACATTTCTTATTGCTGCACATGCTGCATTATTTTGTATTTGGCACCTTCAACATAAACATGGTAATCCATGTATGCATGTCGTATGTCATATTTTTTTCCTGTGGACCTGTATAAATATAAACATAACAGAAATGATTGAATGTGTCAAATTTTAAACACAAAGATGATTTGTGTTGTACCTTCCATCTCGTGTTTATTGTACTAATTTTGTATTTATTAAACATGTAGGGTCATTCTACTAAAAACCTGTTTTCTTCATCCCTGAAATGTTGGGTTTTGTTGAAGATGATGTATTCTTAGAGAAAAATTTTCTAGAAACTTTTATCCTAGTCTATATTGCTTGCGTTCGGTGCAAGTCTTGGATATTAGTATGTGTTCGATGTGGGTTTGTTCTTTTTTTCCCCTCTTCCATATATTTGGAAGATCATTGAATGGTTATCTCCTCATCCCCGTATCTGAATGTGTTGGACACGGGTGCTTCATGTAAAATGAAGAGTCAAAGTGACAAATTGAAAATTGTAATTCTTTGTCCATGTATATTGACATGGTTTTTCTTTGAATCTTGCAGGTAGAACCTGAATGGAGACAGGCACAAAGTCTGAAGAAGGCAATTGAAGAGCGGATTAAAAAAGGTGATTCAGCGCTTATGATTAGGGTGCAAAGTAGACGCATATACTTTCAAGCTACTTGAATTTCATTCGGCGAAATGATATGATCATAACTCATTTGAGCTTGAGCCTGAGTTTTGAAAACAACCAAGTTATTTGAATATCTTAATGGTTGATTTAAGCATCTTTTGAGCTTTATCGAGGTTTCTTTCCATTTTAGTTAATATTGGAAAATTCTCAAGTCGAGCACAGGTTCAAATACACAACCAAATTTGAAAATGGAACTCGAGTTAGCTCAAATTGTTTGGTTTTTGTCTTGAATAGAACACAAATAATATGAATCTTTTTGGTGCAGATGGTGTGATTGGCATAGGCATTGCTGTTACTGCTGCTGGGCTGGTTGCTGGTGGCATCGCTGCTGCTCTTTCACGCAAAAACTAAGGCCCCCATCTCCTCATTATCATATCATATATGTTGGAACAGATCTTGAAAAATATTTTCAATGATCAAAAAGCAAAGAAATGCTACCTAAATACATCTTGTTATTCTCTCATGTACCAAAAGAGCAAGATCATAATGTCATATTTTCAGATTTACTGATGTATGCTAAATTTTTAATATATATATATATATATATATATATATATATATTGCTCCATAGAAGATGAAAAGAAATACTTCTATTGATTTAATTACTCGCAAAACATAAAACATAATTCAAATAAGTTGGAAAAGTGCAGTGAACATAATTCAATTGCCTTCCCTAATATCTTTAACCTGTTTCAGCATCCATTTCTTTCTAAGGTGAAAAGGCATTACAATAAAGAACTCAGCCTTGCTGTGGTCCATAAGAATATCAATAGCTCTCTCATCGCCCAATTTCTTTCATGTGGTTCTGCCTATTTATCAATATCTTTAACCATGTTGCTTAAACGAGGTTTTGGATGCTCATCTAAATGTTTTTCCCCCATTCTCTCGTGTAGCCTCAACTAATTCATTGTTTCACTGTCCATGTTGCTTATATTCTGTTCCCAACCTCTATCGTACTCAGTAAGTTGTCTGTCTTGTAATCCATGAACAGCATTTATCCAATAACTTGCTATATTATTAGTAATGGCATTTCTCGGCAACCTTTCAGTTCTATATGCGTTGTCTTCTGAGTAAGCCTGTCATCATACACAGCGCAATTCTCAACCATCTCATAAATGTAAAAAGGATATAAGAAATTATGGGGCATAAGAAAACATACCGTTTTCTTGGAACAGTGCTGTTAAGGTCACCTTCCCAGCAACTTCGATCCATTTCTTCTGTCAACCAAACTTTGTTTAACTTTGGAGTGCTCATGGAAATAGGTCAAACTTGGGCATTGAATCACATTTATTTCTTCCAAATATGGGAGCCTCAAGGCATAATTCCCTGAGCAGAAATATAGGAGACTAGGTCAAACTTGTGATATGTCGAGTATTTGGCGAAAGTGAAGTCTATATGTGATATGTTGAATGCGGCTAGGTATGTTGTTATCGAGCAAGAGCAGGTCAGTGTTGTGCTTGCTGGGTTATCCATGGAGTTTGAGTCAAATATTGCCATTGCATCTCGTGAAGTCTTGTATATGTGCTTACTAATATGCTTCTCATTTGTGAGGCTGAGCAAAAGTTTTTCTTAGCGATGGTATTTCGGCTGATATGACAGTTCATTCAAGTGATACTCGTGTTGGTGATGTGCCTGCAAAGATTTCCTCCGAAGGTGGTCATTCTGAGAAACAATCTTCTCAAATGAGAGGGCAGCAAGGTAGCGGTTATCATGGTCAAGGTCAAGGAAGATTTAATGGCTCAAATCAACTTCAATGTCAGTTGTGCGGCAAATTTGGTCATACTATTCAAAAGTGCTATCATCGGTTTGACAGGGATTTTATTGGGGTCGTTACTAGTGATGTTTCGAATGGTGACGGTTGGAAGCGGTCGTTGGGTTTGAGTGTTGATAGTCACTCGTATCCCAATAGAGTGCAAGCTTACACTCATTTTGTGGCTTATCATTACTCTACTTATCCGGCTGGTTTGGTATACCCAGCTTCTCTTTATTATGGAGTTCCAGGTATGTCAGCTTCCTTTTACCATGGGTTTCCTTATTTGTCTGGTTTGATGGCGTATCCATTTGTTGCGATGCCGTTTGGACCCTCACCTGCTGATACCCATTTTAGTTCGTCTACTGTGACTACACCATCGACATCATTTGTTTCTGCCTTACCCGGTGCTTCTTCGGTTGTGCCAACTCAGTCTAAGTTTGTTGATGCTCTTTGGTATCATGAAACTGGTACAACTCATCATGTCTCGAATGATCTTTCGGTGTTTGACTCAGGTATTGCCTACACAGGTAATAATACACTTCTTATGGGTAATGGTAAGGGTGTTACGATTACTCATATTGGTCAAGGTTGCTTGCAGTATAGTTTCAAGCCTTTGATTTTGCAAAATATGCTCCACGTTCCTGACATTAAGAATAAATTGTTGTTTGTCTCTCAATTCACGCGTGATAATAATGTGTTTCTCGAGTTTCACCCTTTTGAATGTTTTGTGAAGGATGCTCAGACTCGGACCATTCTGTTGTGAGTGAAGCTCACGGATGAAGGGTTGTATCATTTGCTTCCATGTGTGGAAAAGGAACCTCGTTGTCTTGTGAATAATATGTCAAAATCGCAAACTCTCTTGGACCTGTGGCATAGACGTTTAAGTTATTATTCTATTAAGACTGTGAAGGTTGTTATGAAATCTTATAATGTGTTTTCTGATGCAAATAATTTGTCCCAAGTTTGTACAGTTTGTTTGTAAGGCAAGACTCACAAGCTGCCGTTTTGTAATTCATTGACTGAATATACAACACCTTTTCAATTGGTTGTATCTGATGTGTGGGGGCCAACACCCTTTACTTCTTTTGATGGTTTTGCGTATCATGTGCCATTTATTGACGTTTTTAGCAGACATATTTAGCTTTATATACTTGAGCGTAAATCTGAAGTGGGGCAATTTTTTTTTAAAAATTTTATAAGATGGTTGAGGTTCAGTTTGGATAGAAAATCAAAGCTGTTCAAAGTGACGGTGGCAGTGGCAGTGAATATCAGGTACTTTATGGGTGGTTTCTTACTCATGGGATTCAACATCGGATTTCATGTCCGAATACGTCGGAGCAGAATGGAAAGGCTGAGAGAAAACACATGCATGTGGTTGAAATGGGATTAACTCTGCTGGCTTAAGCAAATTTGCCTCTGAAGTTTTGGAGCTATGCGTTTACATCGGTGGTTTATTTGATAAACCGGTTGCCAACTGATATGCTAGCTGGTAAATCTCCATTTGAAGTGTTTTATCAAACATCACCTTATTATTCTGATTTGAGAGTGTTTGGTTGTGCATGCTTTCCGTTTCTACGGCCTTTTAATTGGCACAAGTTGAGGTTTCGATCTTGAAAATACGTGTTTCTTAGGTACAACTCGTCTCATAAGGGTTATAAATGCTTGGATGATAATGATCGGATATTTATCCCTCGTCATGTAATTTTTTATGGGACCGTTTTTCTGTATAACGTTTTCAAGATTATTAGTAAGCATGGTGATGAGCATGGGGTTTCTAATGGAATGTTGCATGTGGTGGTTGTTTCGCAAGATATGTATCCGGTTGACAGGGGTGTTGATGAAGTGCGTTTGACTCCAGTCCAAGCTGTGTGTGATGTTTTATCTGCTGATGAACGAGTGTCTTTACCCACTCCGAATGTTGTACCTGGCCAAGAGTTGACTAGTGGTGTTAATGAAGTTTTCATGCAAGAATAACGAGGTCCTATTTTACCTGTTAATGTAAGAGATGATGTGGTTGCTTTGGGCAGAGTGCATGATAATATTTTAATTGCTGGTGATAATAATGCTTTTGTACCAGAGGAGCATGAGATGGTTTTACCTAGAGGTCAAAGGGAGTCGTGTTCACGTGAGGTCTTGACTGAGCAGGAGCCAGCTGCCTCGGCTAGACAGGTGCCTTTTGCTTTGGACAATGTGCTTGTTTTGTGCTATCTTCAAAATGAGGTTGCGGGGCTCTTATTATTCCACCGATTGAAGATACGTATCATAGTGTTGATTTACCAGCTGCTTCGACTAGACAGGTGCCTTTTGCTTTGGACAATGTGCATGTTTTGTGCTATCTTCAAAATGAGGTTGCGGCCTTGCGGGGCTCTTATTATTCCACCGATTGAAGATACGTGTCATAGTGTTGATTTACCAGCTGCTTCGAGTGATACGTGTATTAATGTTCATCCCATGCTCACTAGAAGTAAAAGTTGAATTTGGAAACCAAAAATTTTCAGGTTGCGAGTTCTGATCGAGAGCCTCGAAATATAAATGAAGCTTTATTGTATCCTCATTGGAAGGCTGTTGCGCAAGCAGAATACGATGCTTTGGTTCGGAATGAGACCTTGTCGCTCGTTTATCTTTCCGTTAATCGGCTAGCAGTCGTTTGCAAGTGGTTGTTTAAGGTGAAGAGAAATGCAGATGGCTCCGTAGCCAGGTATAAAGCTCGTTTTATAGCAAAGGGGTTTCTTTAGCAATTTGGTGTTAATTTTTATGAAGTTTTCAGTCCTATAGTTAAGTCTTCCACGGTACGCGTTATTCTTTCGCTTGCTCTGACTCGTGGTTGGAAGTTACGACAAGTTGATATTAATAATGCATTTTAAATGGGATTTTTACTGAGGAAGTGTATATGACTCAGCTGCCAGGTTACGAGCGGAGTAATGGTAATCTTGTTTGTAAACTTCACAAGGTCATTTATGGGCTTAAACAAGCTCCTAGAGCTTGGTTTAAGCGACTCCGAGGGTATTTGGAATCCGAGGGTTTTGTTTTAGCAAAATCTGATTATCTCTTTATGTTCACAAATCGACTTCTAGTGTAATATATTTGTTGGTGTATGTTGACGATATTATTCTCACTGGGAATATTGTTGATGAAGTGCAACTATTTATTGACAAGTTGAACAAACAATTTTCGTTAAAAGATCTTGGCTCTTTAAGTTATTTTTTGGGGGTCGAGGTCTGTTATGAAGCAGGCGTTATTGTGTTGTGCTAACGGAAATATATTGGTGACTTGTTACAGCGAAGTGGTTTTGTTGGTGCTAAGGGTCTTCCTACACCCATAGTGTCAAATTGTAAGTTGTCGGTTAAGGATGGGTCTCCTTTTGAAGATCCTGCTCACTACAGAAGTATAATTGGTGTCTTGCATTATGTAGTCATTACTCGGCCTTATGTGGCGTTTGCTGTCAACCGAGTGTGTCAATTCATGCAGGCTCCTCTTGATGCTCACTTTCAAGCTGTGAAACGGATCCTGCGTTATCTCTAGAGTACTATTGATTTTGGTTTGCGCTTCTCACCTTATTCAAAGTTGACGTTAACTGGTTTCGTCGATGCCAATTGAGGGTCGGATGTGGATGATAGGCGCTCCTCTTCTGGCTATTGCATCTATTTTTCTGGAAACTTAGTCTAGTGGAGTTCTCGGAAACAAGTTGTAGCCAGGTCTACTGCTGAGGCTGAATACCGGAGTGTTGGGTGTGCTGCGGCTGATATGGTGTGGCTTACGTCCTTGCTTACCGAGTTGCTGGAAAATTGCAGGTTCATGAGGTTCCAACCGTTGAGCAGGTTGCCGATGTAGTGACTAAACCATTGTATGCTCCTTTATTTCTAAAGCATTTACAAAGGCTGCTGGTTGTTGAACTCAAGGACACGTTGGTCTTCGACGTGTTGAGCAGCAAGGAGAATGTTGAAGAATGAAAGTCTTCGACGGGTTGAAACGTAGGGAGAATGTTGGAGTTTAGTGTGCGTTGCATGGTTTTGTATGGTTTGGGTGTTTGGCACGTCTTCTGTTAAGAGTTTGTTCCAGAGTTGTTTTGAGTCAGTTATCAGTCTTGACTTGTGACTGTAGATTTGTATATATAAATTTCTTTTGTGTGACTTTGAAAAATACTCTTAATTCTAATAAAAATTTCCGAGAAGTTTTCCTTTCCTCTCTGTTATGATCACTCTTATGATATCTGTTTGGCTATCTTAACACGACGAGGGCAAACACTCGGTTTTCGATCTCTTTCTCTACATAGTTGGACAAAACGTGGAAGTTTTTCCCGAGTTTGGAAACGGTCCAGTCGATCAAGGATTCTAAAGATGTAGCGCAGTACCTTTGTTCACCTTTCATGGCTGGTATTTCGCAGTTTTGAATGGTTTGTTTTATTAGATTAGCCTCGCCGGACTTTGGTTCCAGTGAGAAATACTTGAAGGTTTCTAGGAACTTCCGGCTGGAAAAGGGTATTGATTGTGCAATTTGACGAGGCAAGAACGAAGCCTTGTTCCTTGTCTTCAAGATCTCGTTTACTTTCAACGTCCTACCGACGGGTAGTTGGTTTTCCAAGAAAAAGATAGCTTTGCCATTTGCTTCAGCCTCTTTATCTACAATATTCAGTTAGCAACTTAGCATATAGTATTCCAATATATATATATGGGATTGGATGATAGGTGATAGGATATAATTTATTTATATTTTGTAAAATTTAGGGTAAAATATATTGAGTCTCTTAATTATGTATTTAGTAACAAACCAATCACTTTTTCTAAACATTACACTGGAGTCGTTTAATTAAAATATTGTTACAAATAAGTCACTGACAATTAAATATTAGATAAAATAATGATATGACTTGACATAATAATAATTTTAATATTCTAAATTTATAAACTATACCAATTTAGCCCTAATTTGAAACAACTGAATAAGTTTAAACAAAGACTAAATTTAATGAACTATTTTGAATTAAGACTAAATTGATGTAATATATAAGTTTTAAGGACTAGAATTAGAATTATATGTCATGTTTGATGTTTGTTTTAATGAAAATAGATGCCGAGGAAGTCAACGATGTTGGTGTTGGAATGGACCATCTCCGCCAATGCTTTCGTGGTTACTGCAGACGGAGAAGGGTTTAAGAGAATTTGCAGGGACTTGGGCATTGGGGTGTTTGGGAACACAGATTCCCATTATTTTTGTGGAGGCATAATAGCAGCATCTACATTCCCTGCAAATGATACCTGCATCCAAACAAACCAAATTTAACCACCTCCATCAGCTACAACAAATTAAGTTCAAACCATATAAAATAGGCATTTGATTTTATGTTATAAGTATGTATATAAAAAATTATATTAAAAATTTTAAGATATACAATTATAAAATTAATATAAATATGTGTAAAAGAATCTAAATTATACGAGGATTTAAAAATTTTATATAAGATTATCGGTTGAATCGACCTGACTCGAGAAGTATTGGCATGACCCTAGAAGTACAACTCATCCACTCGAACCCGATCCGAGTTTATGGAAATTTCATTTTATTTTAAACCCGACTAAAATTTTAGAATAAAGTCCGCATCCGACTCAATATAGATATATAAAAAATTTTTTTATTTGATAAAATAAGGAGCTAATTAAAAAATATAAAGAGAGTATTATAACAATTAATTTTAAATATATAAAAGAAAATTATACTATTATTTGGAGTCGTGTTAAGTCAAAGATTTTTCAAACTAAATCTAAAACTCGACCCTATTTCACCATTTATAAAACTCAACTTGATCCAACTCAAAATTAATTATTTAATTAAAAAAACAGTTATATTGGATCAAATCAAGATACAATCCATCGAATGAATATGAAATTAACACCCCTATCCATCGACCCATGATATTAATCTGTAATACATGAATAGCTCTGAAAAATATATTTTATTACATTGACAAATAGAACGATGAAGAGAATGAAACGGAAGTGATCCATTGAAATTCTGTGGAACCTTGGGATGAAACTCTCTCTATATATACAGGGTCCAATTTTCTAGAAAGACCTCATTTTAAACGTAATTTGCGGATTTAGTCCATTAATTATAATTGCTTATAAGGACATGATTGGAGGTGTGGGGAGATGGAGACGAAGCAGTAGTCAGAGAGAGAAGATTTAATTTATAGCCCTTTAAAGAGTAAACCAAAATGACAATTTGTCAATAAAAGAATGTCCATCTGTCCCTATTCTTCCTCCCCACAAATAATTGAATTTGGAGTTGACTTACAATGCAGGTTTAAGTTTTAGGACTGATCTTAAAAATGGATTTTGGGTCGACAGCTGATCTTAAGATTGTTTGAAAATGACATGGTCGAGAATTGATTTTGGGTCGATGAGATTCGTTTTGATAATCGTCGAGATTTGATTTGAAGAAATAAGTTAATCTTCTATCTATTAATACTTCTGAACCAAAGAGAGTACGATTCAAAAATTGTTAAGACTTGTTCTTGGATTGATGAATCTGTTTTCGCACTTAGGAATGGTAATTGGGTGAATCGGAATGAGTTTTTGGTCGAATTGAACCCGACTCGACATCAACTCTTTAAAAAAAAAATTTACTCGCACAGTCGCACTGAAAATTTAAATAAAAATTCGACTCTAACTCAATTTAATTTAGTCTAACATATTTTTTTGTCAAAAAAGAATAATTGAATAAAGTGTTAATTTATACAATTTAATAACACGAAATTAATATAATATCATAATTTTAATATCTTATATGTTAATTTTTATATTTTTTCATCAAAACCTAATTAATAATGTATAAATACATAAAATGATACTTTTATAACTATCTAATTTAAATTTTATAAAATAAAAAAAATAACCATGACGATCCAAATTGAGTCAATACTCGTCGAATACTTCTTTTTTTGCAATCCTTTATAAAATCCATCTTCAAAATTGGATTGATCTCGTTCATGTCACATAAAAAAAAGGATTGACAAACTTTTAGATTTCTTCGAGTATTGAAATTAGATGGATAATGTTCGAAGACTCTCAATCATTTGATATTAAACGCTCATACCCTACATACACGGTGTTTAAATCCGGAACCTCAAGGGATAACAACAATTTTTTAACCAATGAAATCGCTTGATTTGTGCTAGTAAGTACAATAGGTGGATAGTGGTATTTAATTTTCAAAATATAAAATTTCATATTTTCCTTACTTTTTTTATGATAAAATGATGTCATGTATTATCTTATTGGATGGTATTAATTTATTATACGAGAAAAATCTTGATAAATTTTTTGAAAGAAAGCACTTTCTTAAAAGTATGTAGTTTATAAAGAATATTTATCCAGTTAAATTTGTATCTATAAATAGATAAAGTATATAACCATTAATATACGAAATTGATTTCATTGTTGTCATTGAAATTACAGACAAGTTTGTGCTGGACTATGTATGTTACGTAGTGGCCTGCGATGATTCCAAGCACTAGTGTATATCACTTGGGAATTTTCTCACGGTATATCCTTAAAACACCATTACAGCTTCTTCTTTCTTGTAAGCTTTCAATTTTTGTGTGCGTCTCTTTCTGTGTGTATATACATATATATACATGTATTATGTTACATTTCAATTCGAAGATCGCATACCTCACATATCCAAAGTTCCAGACAGCTTGTCTGCAGTCTTTCATGGCGTTTCGTTCCCTTTTCATCGTCGTTTTACTTTGTGTATGCCTTCACCATCTTTTGCTCTAGTTATACATATATATATATATATATATATATATAGGATTAGTCTGTTAATTGATTATTATCCGTTTTACATTTAATAATAATAATAAATTTACAGTTTGGATTTGGAGGAAGGCATGCAATTCGGACAAAAGAGGAGCTTCATTGGATGTCTGTGTTTCCACACTCTCCAATGCCCGCTGTTTTGCAAGACATTCTGCCAATACCTGGTTTCATTTTCAATATCAATCTCTTTTAAGAGAATAATATAACCAACCAAATCATGATAAACTACTTATTTAATCAATCCTCTATTTTCATATTTCTATAATGAAAACAGAAATAAAACATAACGCTAAGTATATGAATTAATTAACCCATAGTTTTATTAACAAATCATGTATACAGGTCGAAAAGGAGTAAAGGATCCAGTGTTTCTGATGAAGTATCCAGCACCGAGGATTCTCCGGACAACAAAGGAATTGATGATCCTGTATTTGGTGCTTATTGGTATGATTATTCCTACAAAAAATCCAAAACCAAAGATGATTCAAACAAAAAATCAAACACCGAAGATTCTTCGACAAACAAAGGAGTCAATGATCCTGAATTTGGTGCTTATTGGTACGATTATTCATACAAAAAATCCAAAACTGGAGATTCAGGTAAAAATTCTAACACCGAGAATTCTCCGACAAAAGAAGTAAGAGATGATCCCAAAGAATATACTCCGATAAACAAGAATGGTACGTGTGCTAACATTATATATTTCAATAATCATATTATGTCAAATTAAAGTATAAGGATTAAAATTTTAATTTGAGTACAGTAAAGAGACCAAAATTGTAATTAATGATTTTTTTAAACACTAATGTAGTAAATAGAAAAGCTTTGGGGGGACAGAGTAAGCAAGAAAATACAGCTACAAATGAAACCATTTATTTCCTTGAAGAGACTCTTTTCCCCGGTACGAAGGTGAACTTACCAAGACTCTTAGAGAAGAGGGACATGACCACATTCTTGCCCAGCAAACTGCAGACTCGCTGCCGATGTCAGACGATAAGTTATTACCGGAGATCTTGAAAAACTTCTCGTTGAAAGCCGAATCCAAGGGCACGGGTTACGTGAAGATAGCATTGACGAACTGCGCGAGAGATGAAATGAGAGGCGAGACTAAGTATTGCGCCTCATCATTAGAATCCTTCGTCGATCTAGCCGTTTCGCTCTTCGGGGAAAACATTCGATTGATTTGGCATGAGCTTGGGGACGAAACGAAGAACCCGTCGTTTACGATCGGTAAAGTACGGAAAATAGGAGAGAACGATATCGTTTGCCACAAGATGAAGTACCCGTATGCAGTGTATTATGCCATGCGATTGAGAAAACCGTGGTTTATAAAGTTCCACTCGCAAGCGACGACGGGACAAAGGCTAACGTCGTGGCGGTTTGCCATCTAGATACGTCGGCTTGGAGCCCTAACCATATGGCGTTCAGGACACTAAAGTGAAGCCGGGAACTGTTCCGGTTTGCCATTTCCTTGCTCGTGACACACTCGTCTGGGTCCCCAACTGAGTTGCTTGTATAAAGATTACATGCATGGTTAACTGAATAATGTCAAAATTGCAATAAGTGTCACGTTGGACACAAAGATTGATTCAAATTCAGTTAACTGAATAAAGTTTATATACTTGGAGACACCTTTAGTTCCTGGATAAACTAATATAATTAAGGTTAGTGTTCTACATATTCCAATTTTTAATTATTTTGAGAATAATCACCTATTATCTATTCATACATGATATAGTTATCCCGTACGTCTGATTTTATTAATAAATTATATAAATTAAATTATTTATCATATATATGTTAGCTGCAATAATAAGATGTGCCATACTTTGATTAAAAAATTTAATTTCGAACCTTAAAAGATAGATTATACATTAAAGATATAAAAGTAGATGGTTATTCTCCTCAAAATGTTAACATGTATTTTTTTTTTAAAATGACTCACTCCAACGCTAAGAATAAATGTTTTAATAAAAATTCATTCATTATTTTAATCAATATAATTAATATTATGTAAAAATTTATTTTGATTGGTATCTGGTAGTATATTTTTTAAAATAAGTATTTTTTCTTGTAAAAATATTATGTAAAATGTCAAAACAATAATATACTTAATTATTTTCTTTATTTTCAGAGTTTATTTTGAGAATCTCGTTGAGTCATTGTAGCGTTTAACCAAAGTAATTACCAAACGCTGTCTTGTGAGTGACGGCCATTTCCCCGAGAAAATCCACAGGGTTTTCACTTTGCAACCCAAAAAGAGAAGGAAAACACGACAGACCGAGCTTTGACTAGAAAAATGGAAGCAAAGGTAGGGAAATTCTTCGAGTCGGTGAATAACTTCTTCTCCGGCTCAGATCAGCTTCCTTGGTGCGATTCTGATATCATTGCAGTAAGTGCTGTGCTTCACCCCTTTTTATCTCTCTAAATTTCAGATTTTCTTCTAGATCTTTGTATTGATTGCCTTGAATTCTACGGATTGACTTTTTTTGGATTTCTGGGCTTTGGAATAATTTTCAATATGATTCGTATTCCTTCTCAAATTCGTTTTCTTAGGGTGTGGGGTTTTGTCAATTTTAGAGTAATTTCATGTAAACAAAGCAATTGCGGTAGATTATAAATTTGTAGTTGTCTTTACTGTTAAACTTTTAGATGAATATGGGTACCTTTTAGTTTGAATCATCTGGTGCTATCATTTATTGTGATTTGTGAGGCAGCTTTTAATTAATAGCTGATAGAAATTTCTGTATTATAAGGCAATTCATGTACCCGTTTCTTTAATTGTTCCCTGATTGATTATTTGTTTAAAGCATATGCCTCGGATTGCTGCCCGTATCGAGTGATTGGTATCCTCCTTGTTTGTTTGCCTCATCTGCTTTGCAGGGTTGGAAATAAGAGCATCTAGGAGGGAGAGTCCGAAAAATACTTGAGGGCTGTTGTATCATGTGGAATTGGAACCCCCTTTGACCTTCATTTTTGTTTCTTAATCCGACTGTTTTTGTTTGAAAACCTCGGTATCATGTTGAATTGGATTTTGGAACCCCATTTGGCCTTAATTTTTTGTTGTGGCTTCTTCTCCTTGAAAAACATAATATGTGAATTAGCAAAGAGAAAGTATCCATAATGGTTAAGCCGATGAAAAAGGATCATAATGGTTGTTTTCATGGTACTGGAACTATTTTGTGGCTTGCCCTTTTTCTGATTTAATTCTTGGATTTCACTATTGATGTGAGGCATGTACATTAATATTCACCCCATCGAATTGTTTATAATATATGTATCTTTTCTCCTGCATGATGAAATAATGTTTAAAACGTAGATTCGTAGTTTGATGAGCTGACTAAATGCCCTGGCTTTGTACATAATGGTAAAGACTAGAATTGATTTGATATTTTTTTCGTTTGTCTTTAAAACCATTCTCAGGGATGTGAAAAGGAGGCTGCGAAGGCTGATAAAGGTTCTGAAGGGTTAAAAAATGAATGTCTCACTCGATTTTCATGGGCTCTTGTTCACTCGCGGCGAGCAGAAGATGTAGAACGTGGGATAGCTATGCTCGAAGGTCAAACTGATTCCTTCAGACTTTCCACAAAAGCAGTTGCAAGCTGCTGTTGAGATTTATTTCTGATTAATCTTTACATGTCCAATTATGTTGAATTAAAATATTTGTTATTTGCAGCTTCATTGGCCAGCACTGCCGATCCACTGAAGATGCGAGAGAAGTTGTATCTTCTGGCTGTTGGACATTTCCGAAGGGGTGATTATTCAAGGAGCAGGGAGCTTGTGGAGCAGTGTTTAATGGTTGATATTTACTATCCTTATTCACTAATGTTACTCTAGATATTATGACATTTCTTATTGCTGCACATGCTGCATTATTTTGTATTTGGCACCTTCAACATAAACATGGTAATCCATGTATGCATGTCGTATGTCATATTTTTTTCCTGTGGACCTGTATAAATATAAACATAACAGAAATGATTGAATGTGTCAAATTTTAAACACAAAGATGATTTGTGTTGTACCTTCCATCTCGTGTTTATTGTACTAATTTTGTATTTATTAAACATGTAGGGTCATTCTACTAAAAACCTGTTTTCTTCATCCCTGAAATGTTGGGTTTTGTTGAAGATGATGTATTCTTAGAGAAAAATTTTCTAGAAACTTTTATCCTAGTCTATATTGCTTGCGTTCGGTGCAAGTCTTGGATATTAGTATGTGTTCGATGTGGGTTTGTTCTTTTTTTCCCCTCTTCCATATATTTGGAAGATCATTGAATGGTTATCTCCTCATCCCCGTATCTGAATGTGTTGGACACGGGTGCTTCATGTAAAATGAAGAGTCAAAGTGACAAATTGAAAATTGTAATTCTTTGTCCATGTATATTGACATGGTTTTTCTTTGAATCTTGCAGGTAGAACCTGAATGGAGACAGGCACAAAGTCTGAAGAAGGCAATTGAAGAGCGGATTAAAAAAGGTGATTCAGCGCTTATGATTAGGGTGCAAAGTAGACGCATATACTTTCAAGCTACTTGAATTTCATTCGGCGAAATGATATGATCATAACTCATTTGAGCTTGAGCCTGAGTTTTGAAAACAACCAAGTTATTTGAATATCTTAATGGTTGATTTAAGCATCTTTTGAGCTTTATCGAGGTTTCTTTCCATTTTAGTTAATATTGGAAAATTCTCAAGTCGAGCACAGGTTCAAATACACAACCAAATTTGAAAATGGAACTCGAGTTAGCTCAAATTGTTTGGTTTTTGTCTTGAATAGAACACAAATAATATGAATCTTTTTGGTGCAGATGGTGTGATTGGCATAGGCATTGCTGTTACTGCTGCTGGGCTGGTTGCTGGTGGCATCGCTGCTGCTCTTTCACGCAAAAACTAAGGCCCCATCTCCTCATTATCATATCATATATGTTGGAACAGATCTTGAAAATATTTTCAATGATCAAAAAGCAAAGAAATGCTACCTAAATACATTTGTTATTCTCTCATGTACCAAAAGAGCAAGATCATAATGTCATATTTTCAGATTTACTGATGTATGCTAAATTTTTAATATATATATATATATATATATTATATATATATATATATAATATATATATATATATATATATATTATATATATATATAATAATATATATATATATATTGCTCCATAGAAGATGAAAGAAATACTCTATTGATTTAATTACTCGCAAAACATAAAACATAATTCAATAAGTTGGAAAAGTGCAGTGAACATAATTCAATTGCCTTCCTAATATCTTTAACCTGTTCAGCATCCATTTCTTCTAAGGTGAAAGGCAAGAACTCAGCCTTGCTGTGGTCCATAAGAATATCAATAGCTCTCTCATCGCCCAATTTCTTTCATGTGGTTCTGCCTATTTATCAATATCTTTAACCATGTTGCTTAAACGAGGTTTTGGATGCTCATCTAAATGTTTTCCCCCATTCTCTCGTGTAGCCTCAAATATTCATTGTTTCACTGTCCATGTTGTTATATTCTCCCAACCTCTATCGTACTCAGTAAGTTGTCTGTCTTGTAATCCATGAACAGCATTTATCCAATAACTTGCTATATTATTAGTAATGGCATTTCTCGGCAACCTTTCAGTTCTATATGCGTTGTCTTCTGAGTAAGCCTGTCATCATACACAGCGCAATTCTCAACCATCTCATAAATGTAAAAAGGATATAAGAAATTATGGGCATAAGAAAAACACGTTTTCTTGGAACAGTTGTTAAGGTCACCTTCCCAGCAACTTCGATCCATTTCTTCTGTCAACCAAACTTTGTTTAACTTTGGAGTGCTCATGGAAATAGGTCAAACTTGGGCATTGAATCACATTTATTTCTTCCAAATATGGGAGCCTCAAGGCATAATTCCCTGAGCAGAAATATAGGAGACTAGGTAGTTCATTTAGCTCCAGAACCACGAGCTTGCGGAAAATGATTTCTCCCAATGTTTCAACTGCTTCTTCATCATTTGCAACAATTTCAGTCACCTTAAGGCATTCTCTTACACTCATTTTGGTGAGTTGCACAAGTGTTTTGGCAGTAGAGGACGAGATTATATGCTCCACGCCATGGCAGTTCAATACAGCCAAAGTGACCAACTTGTTACAATGCCAAACGAGTAGAGATTCAAGATAGGAAAGAATTGGGTCCGGTTCTGAGTTTGGCTTCCATATATGACGCAGATTCGAAAGAGAACCAACTTCAAGGTTCGAACTCTTGAAAGGGTCCCGAGAGGTTTCTTTGGATTACCAATTAGTCTTTCAGATGGGAAGAGCTCTCTGAATCTACAACAGCCAACATAAATCTTGTCTAAATTGGTGAAGCTTTGGATGAACATGATGGAAAATAGTTGGTTCATGGTAACAATGCACTTACAGAACTTTATTGTCGCTAAAAAGGTTAGGTGGCAAGTCTTCCTACTTAACATTGACATGTCTCGGCTATCTAATGTAAGTTCATCCAACAACCTGCAGAAAGTGTGAAAAGAAACAAGTCAATGAACACAATCAGGGTAAGATTAAATAACAATCATGTAAGGACTCTATCAGTACTGCATAGGTTCTTTTGAGTAAGAAGTGTAGATATGTGAAATGTATTGATCGCATGTATAAGTGTGTGTTGTGGCACATAATTCTGTACAAGTATACATGTTGAATAATCGGGTAAAGAAAACGAAAGAACACAAGAATTTTAACGAGGTTCAGCAATGTGCTTACGTCCTCGGTGCCCTAAGCGGCGCTAGAATTTTTAATCAATTCAATGTCTCATAGGTTTATGTTACATCTCCTTTTATAATAAATAAACCCTGGTACATATTTACAAAAATAACATTGTACCGTACTGCGGGGCGCAGCCCCCGCCCCCCCAACCCACATAATCGTAACCCCCACTACGAGACTTTCCTCTTTACCGGTATATTTATGAGTCATACCTAACAAATCTCCACCTTGGCGAATATTCCGCCCCCTTAGGAAACATTCAATGTGGGTTGGGTTACCTTACTTCTTTAACAACTCGAAACATTCAACAAGTCCAAGCAACGCATGAACTTGTGTGTCGTAACTGGCTTGGCGAACATATCAGTGTCATTCTCATCAGTATGTACCTTCTGAAACAAAATCCAGATGCAACCAACTCTCTGATCTTGTGAAACCTTACATTAATATGCTTAGTTCTAGCACGATATATCTGATTCTTAACTAAGTGAATAGTACTTTGATTGTCACAAAGCAACTGAACTCCACCTTGTTAAACACCTAACTCCTTCACTAAACCAGTAAGCCATAAAACTTCTTTTGCAACTTCAGCCAGTCTCGTTTCATATGTCCCGCCTCCTTGCACTTGTAACAGTTAATTGTCTTCTTATCCCTAGATTTGGATATGAAATTCCGCTTCCTAGACCATGCCTTCTCTGGCTTCCGTCCACGGTCTCGATTACCCTTGACATATAAGCTATCAGCTTGAGAGTTTTCCCCTGCATTCTGCTTCCGCTGGTTGTGTGTCAACAAGGCTGTAATAATCTCCTCAACTTTGATAGTCTTTTTCTCATATGTAAGAGTTATCACCATGTGTTCGTAAGAGGGAGGCAACGAACACAACAGAATCATCACTTTGTCTTCATCCTCAATTTTCACATCAAGTCGAGCTAAATCAGAAACGACTTGATTGAAGACATTCACATGTTGCGCCAAATCATTATCATCCTGCATCATCAGCCCATACAGTCGCTGCTTTAGATACAGTTTAGTCGTTAAGGATTTGGACATAAACTGACTTTCCAACTTCTTCCAACTTTCATCTGGAGACGACAGATGCATGACGTGATACATGACCTCATTCGCCAAACATAATCGTATAGTTCTTGCCGCTCGCTGCGACAATTCTTCCTAATCTTCCTCCTCTATCGACGCTGGCTTTATAGGTCGCAAAGTTTTCAGGATCCCTTACTGCGCCTGTAACATCCCAAATTATGGGTTAGTGACCAAATTGTAAAGTTTCAGAATTTGATGACTAAAGTAGAAAAATGAAATAGTTTAATGATTATTGGATACATATGATGAAGGTTATTTAGTAATTATTAAAGGAAATAAAGGGCAAAAAGGTCAATTGACCAAGAAATGAATTAAAATGGGATTGGTAAGGATAAATACACGTGGAAAGGGAGAGAATTCTCCAGAGTGCTCTTCTCCTTTCTTCTTCTTCTTTACGTGGAAGCCAAAAGCAAAGGTAAGTTTGATTTAGCTTTTGATTTCTTGAAAGTTTAAGTTGGATTTGGTCTTGAGGGTTATATAAGCTTAGGAAAGCTTATATAAGTTTAAAACACCAAAGAGAGAGAATTAGAAAGGAATTTCTATTAAGGGTTTATAAATGAACTTTTGTTATAGAAAGGTTTTTGAAGTTCTAAAGTTGGATTTGACTTGTCAAGGGTCTAATTAAGAAGTTAGAAGCAATGAATGGAATTTGGAACATGTAGAAATTGAGTATGATTCTTGAATTTCCATATGAAGATGGAATTTAGAGGTTAAAGATGATATAAATGAATATTAATGAGTTTAAGTATGTATATGAAAGTTAGGAATATGAAAGGGGTTGAAATATGAAGGATTTAATCCAAAAATAAGGAATTTTCGGGTTCAAAAAGAGGTTCTGGGTAGAGTGCATCAATGCATATTCATAGTGCACCGATGCATCAATGTTAAAACCCAGGAATTGTTTGAAGGTGTATCGATGCATTGGTGCATCGATGCACTCTTTTAAAATAAATACATCGAATGCAATTCGTGCATCGATGCATAAGTAGTGCATCGATGCATCCCATTAATAAGGAAACATTGAATGCAATTAGTGCATCGATGCATAAGGCATGCATCGATGCATCCCAGTAATAAACAAACATCGAATGAATTTTATGCACCGATGCATCAGTAGTGCATCAATGCATACCTTTATTTAAAGATGAAATTGCCTTTTCTCTTAGTCTAAAGAGTGAACCATTAGAGTATATTAGTTATAATACTAATATAGATCTATGTATGATGATGTAGATATAGAACGTGATCCCGTTCCGGATCAATTAAGGATTATAATCGAATCAAAGCAAAGCTAAGGTGAGTGCACCTTCTAGTATATGAGGTTCAAGGGAAAATAAGACTTGTGATAAGTCTATTTCCAATAGTGAAAAACATGAATTCATAGAAGTATGTATTTGTTATTGATATGAATATGGTAAGTAAAAGGGATTAATGGTGATGATAAGAATAATAATAAGGATAATGAAAGTAGGTATGTAATAAGATAGGAAAGAAGATAATTATATGTATGCGTGTATATGCATATATATATATATATATATATGAAAGGTGCATAGTAGGAATTATTACATGTATATGTGGGTATGATGCTTGTATGTGATATGTTAGTAGAATTGTTCAAGCATGATTACGAGTTAGAGTTTTATTATATGTTTTATGCCTCACTAAGTCAACGACTTAGCGTGTGATTGTTTCACACGTAGGTTACAGAAGTGAGAAGAGTAAAGAGCTAAGAGGAGCAAGACATGTCAGCATTTTCCTTACAAAGTTTCAGATCAGAAAATAGATGATTTAATGTGTATGGTTAATCTGAATATAGTTGGCATGTACTAATTGATTGAGCTGAATATGCTCTGATCGATTTTGGTCAATTTATGTAAATACACAGTTTTTATTTAATGAAAGTTTTAAATTTTTCTTTGAATTTTTGTCAAGAGTCAAAGTTTTGAAAGTCAATGTGACACCTCAAACTCGTATTTGGGTGGATACGGTTGAGGGTGTACATTTAATGGTATCAGAGCTACAGTTTAGCGATTCTAGGCTTAAATAGAAGTCAGAAGTGTTTAAAAAGTATACATGGCAAACTCAAAGTGAAACAAAAATCTGATCTGATAGTGTAAGGAGTATGATGTCTTGCTAATAAAAATAGATTATTATGTGATAATAGAAGTATGATAATAAGAGTTTTGAAAAAAGGTAATAAACCTGAAGGTAATAGCATTCACCTGCCCTGGCCAGGCAGGGAGAAGCATATATATATATATATATATGAAAGGTGCATAGTAGGAATTATTACATGTATATGTGGGTATGATGCTTGTATGTGATATGTTAGTAGAAATTGTTCAAGCATGATTACGAGTTAGAGTTTTATTATATGTTTTATGCCTCACTAAGTCAACGACTTAGCGTGTGATTGTTTCACACGTAGGTTACAGAAGTGAGAAGAGTAAAGAGCTAAGAGGAGCAAGACATGTCAGCATTTTCCTTACAAAGTTTCAGATCAGAAAATAGATGATTTAAATGTGTATGGTTAATCTGAATATAGTTGGCATGTACTAATTGATTGAGCTGAATATGCTCTGATCGATTTTGGTCAATTTATGTAAATACACAGTTTTTATTTTAATGAAAGTTTTAAATTTTTCTTTGAATTTTTGTCAAGAGTCAAAGTTTGAAAAGTCAATGTGACACCTCAAACTCGTATTTGGGTTGGATACGGGTTGAGGGTGTTACATTTAATGGTATCAGAGCTACAGTTTAGCCGATTCTAGGCTTAAATAGAAGTCAGAAGTGTTTTAAAAAGTATACATGCAAACTCAAAGTGAAACAAAAATCTGATCTGATAGTGTAAGGAGTATGATGTCTTGCTAATAAAAATAGATTATTATGTGATAATAGAAGTATGATAATAAGAGTTTTGAAAAAAGGTAATAAACCTGAAGGTAATAGCATTCACCTGCCCTGGCCAGGCAGGGAGAAGAGCGAACACCTCAGGAAATGCCTGTATAAAATTTAGAAAATTATTCTTCATGTTGAAGAATGTTATGATGTGTTTTCAATTTATATTTCTTTAACTCATAGAATGAATGTATCAAATTAGTTGATAAAGTTGCGAGCACCCAAGTTCAAGAGTGGATTTGAGGAAGGTTCTATTGTTATAGACTTTTGGTTGAATGATATAATAAAAGGTTTTCATTCTTCAAGTGGAGATGTTGAATTGAGTAGTTTGTTACTACTTTGGTAAGTTAGAGTATGGTGGACAATTGTCACCATAAGAACGTTAAAAGATTAAATGATGTGATTAGAATTGTATAAGTTCAAGAATAAGTGCATTGATGACTAGTTTACAGACGAAACTGGAATACACGAGCTTGAAACAAGGGAATTACACTTTGTATGAGTATGATTATAAGTTTATTAAGCTAAGCAGAATTGCTGCTGAGTTAATTCCAACTGAAAATGATACATGTGATTTGTTATTAGGACTTGCGCCTTAAATTAAAAGAGTGTTACTGGTTTTGAATTTGTTATCGTTTCAAGAAATGGTTAATTATGTTAAAGCTTTAAAGAGAAAAAGCTCAGAACAAAAAGTTTGGAGAAATAAAATCTCAGATGATTAAGAGAATTAGTGCTTCATAGAATTTTAGCACCAT